CACTTTACCCGGAAATCATTAGCTCCAAGGGCGATTCGAAATTTGTCGAGGGTGCGTAATGGAAAAAAAAAACTCGATGCCGTCGGGAGAAGGAGCAAAAAGGAGGCGAAGTAGGAGATGGCTCTCGGGCTATAGGATAGCGGAATAAATTTGGATAGCTCCCTGTTTTGGCCTCGAGCCACGGTTACCCGACGTAGGCACTCTCAGACGTACGATCGACTCTTTCGTAACGCGGCGCGCGAGAAGGGTAGAGAAGAAAACTGGGCAGGGCCGGCGAAAGAGAGGTATACAGGCGAGCCGCTCCTTTACGATGGATTTAATTAAAAAACATAATTTAGCAGGCAGAGGATAACAGGTAGCTTGGCTCCGATGGGAACTAACGGAGGTTCCGTCACAGCACGGCGCTGTTCGGCGCCGGCCTGCGGTCACTCATGAATAAGATTATTAATCCCGTCCTTTACAGAAAACCACTTTTTTTTTGTTTCGCTCCTCGCACAATCGCTCTCTTCTCGCGTTTCCTAATATCTAGAAAAATTTATCGCACGTGATTTAATTTATTAATAATTATTTATGAGCGAGTGAGAAAGACTGCAAGGCGAGATAGTGCATTTGATTCATAATCTTTCATTTGACTTCAAAATTTGATAGATACGAATTACGATTAATATCGTACGGATTTCCGTAAAGCATTGTTGCAAAATAATTACTGCATTACGGATGGATTCGGATTTTCTCTCATAAAAAGTTGGCAAAATTTTTTATCCCCTCAAATTTACGAGATTTAAGCAAGTTAGCCATCGTTCTTCGTTAATGATTGTAATCGCTGATGTTACACGCGATACGGCCGCATCGGCCGTCCGCAGTCAGCACAGGCAGTAAGTTGATCGCCACTGACACACTGGGTTGGACCCCGGGTCGGTTAGATGGGCCGAGTTAAAAATCCATTTGTTGGGGACGCGGTCAGTGTCGCGCGCGAGATTAAAAGAGAGATACCGACGGACAAGAAAAGCAACGCCATTTTGTCGAAAGGAGGACCGATGACCTCGCGGCTAGTTTCTCTCCCGCGTATAATGGCAGTCGCGTTGCGTGCGAATGTACAATTTTGTTCCATCGCTACCGGTCGATCAAGGGGTCCTGTCGGCAAAGCCAACAGAGCGGAAGGAAAACGAGGTGCCAGTCGTCAGTACGAAAAGATTTTTCACAATTAAACAAAAAGAGAAAAATAACTTATAACCTTTATTACAAAACATTATGAAAAGCACGTTTGTGAACGTTGTGTATAGTGTAGAATAGCAAAAATTTATCTGTCTTCATATAATATTTACGTCAAGCTCGAATCTATTTCTACTAAACTACCTAAGCTTTGTATTGTGTAAAATTTGCAAAAATATTGCGTGACCCATGGAGACACTAACGCGGCTGGTATTATCACACAATTAACTTTATAAATGTAACGAGGTTGTTCAGATAACGCGTTCTGCAACAAAAAAAGTAATTTTCTCTTTCAGTTTAGACTATCGTTGCAACATGAAGTCTCACGACACGCAATATTTTTCGCAAACTAAGAATTTGTGCTATTGATTAAATCTTACGTATTACTTTGGTTGCTCATTGTATGGATATGCGTATTTCACTCAATCATGCATATTGAATGTTAATTTATACTTCAAAGATAAAAAACGAAGAATGAAGAAAACAGTAATGATAAAAAAAAGAAGCCTATGACGCGACGTAGGAAATAACGTAGGAAACGACTATATCGGAGTCGACGGCCAGTCCGATAACGAGAGAGACGAGCGAGGCAAAGCGAACGTTTTTATAATCGCTGCAATTATCTGCGAGGCCGGAGTCGAGCGTATAGAACCCTAGCGCGCAACAGTTTCAAGGGGCACCGCTTCTTATCGGGACACTGGCTGCGTGCCGGCGCGGTTGCATGCGGAGGCTGATAAACAAATAATTAGCATTCGAAGTAACCTGCATTCGTATTATCGCTGGCATCGCTCTCCTCGTGAAGGGAAGGCGTATTCGCGTAACCCTTCGTTGACGTATATACTGCGCGCATTCGAGCCAGCGAAGACCTAGCCGGTTAACGTGCAACGGCATTCGTGCTACCCGCTATACATTTTACCCGACTTGTACTCGGACGGGTAATTAACGCGGTATGGAAATCACGTTGAACAATTCGACCGTTCGATCTAAGTGCATTTCTTTTCCGTAATATGTTTTACGTGTCCGCGTAAGCGTATCGAGATGATAAAGAAAACACCGAGTAATGAGATTATATGAGGCAATAGTATAATATTATTTTAAATTATAATACAATGGTATACAGAGTATTTCAGCCCAATCGTATCACCTATTAAGAGTAGGATTCTGAAGTCATTTGAAGACAAAAGTTTTTACGTCAAAATGTCCAGACTACAATATTTAAATGGAAAATGTTTAAAGTTAATCGATCAAATTGTCAAAAATTTACGCACTCAGGTATATTTTAATATCCTTTCCATATGAGACCGTATAACCTCAGAAATCTGCTATAACAGATAATACAGTTACTCTGTGAAATACCTTATATATTTTACATTATTTTTAAATCTGTTCTTTTAATGATATTAAAAGAAACAAGTTAGATTGACTTACCGGCACTATGCGCAGCAGCAGAATTGTTTACAAGTTGATCTATAAACATACAAAGTACATCCAAATTATAGCAATGTTAAAAATAATTATTTGAGAAATAATTATTATGCACATTAAACTTTTACTTATTTTTTATGCAAATATCTAATAAAAGAATTATACATTTATATCTAATAACCATAAATATTAAAAATTGCAAATCTTTTATTAAATATTTCAAAGTTTCTATGTGCGTTACATGATGTTAATTTGTTAAGTTTCTATGTACATTACATGATATTTTACGTGCAATATTTTACAAATAACATATAACAAATAAATGATTACTTACTCTAAAGTCGCTCCGCCGATGTCCAATGCCTTTCCTGAGCCTTTTCCTCCTCTCAGTCTTTGCAATTCTTCAAGACACTCACACGCGTTTACGACGCAAATATTCGCACAATATTTAACGACACCACCGATGCGTACTTTGTCATATTAAGACAAAAGTAAAACTTGTATAGAATATTATCGCACAGATTACACGTTCGACACTCTATCGCATCCGTAACAATTAACGATAGAAAATGTGAGACCAAAAATTACGGAAAATAATAAAGATAATACTATTGGAGAGGACAACGCGTCGATACGGAACGATCTGAACAAGGTGTTGCCGTGCGCATAACTGTGTAAACATATCAAGGACAAAATCAAATTAAAATCGGAATCGGAGCGACTTTGTTCTTGATATGTTTATTGCCCAATTATTATGCGCATGGCGACACCTCGTACAGATCATTCCATATCGATGCCTTATCCACTTCATTAGTATAATATCTTTATTATTTTCCGTAGTGTTCGATCTCACTCTTTCTGTCGTTACTTATTATAGACGTGGCAGAGTATGTGTAACCCGTGCAATGATATATAAGTTTTACTTTGTCCGTCGAGATGACATATCGAGAGTATCGTTTAAAATATTGTGCGATTTTTGTATTCGCGTCGTGAACGCATGTGAGTGCCTTAAAGAACTGCAAAGAGAACTGAAAGGAAGAAGCTCGGGAAGGGCATCAGGCGGAGCAATTTTAAAGTAAATAATTATTTATTTGTTATCTATTATTTGCAAATTATTGCGTTAAATATTGTGTAACGCACATAGAAACTTTAAATATTCAGTAAAAGATTTGCAAGTTTTAATATTTGTGGTTATTAGATATATAATTCTTTTATTAGACATTTGCATGAAAAATAAGTAAAAGTTTAATATGCATAATAATTATTTCGCAAAAAGTTATTTAAAATGCTGCTATAATTTGAATGTACTTTGTATGTTACAGATCAACTTGTAAACAACTCCGTTGCTGCACATCGTGCCAGTAAGTCTCAATCCAATTTGTTTTATTTTAATATTAGAGAATTAAGAAAACAGATTTAAAAATAATGTAAAATATACAAGGTATCTCACAGAGTAACTGTATCATCTGTTAAAAGCAAATTTCTGAGGCTTCTTATATGCCAAGTATATAAAAATCAATATGCGACGTGCTTGAGCGCGTTAATTTTAAATAATTTAATCGGTCAACTTTAAAATTTGAATATTATTGTAGCCTGGACATTTGGTATAAAAATTTTCGTCTCCAAATGACTTCAGAAATCTGTTATTCACCGGTGATACGGTTGGTTTAAGACACTTTATGTATATAGCACATCTATACCGTGTTACAATTTGCATGGTAGTAATGATTGCTTATCTCAGATACTACATACTTTATGAATAATTTTACTTTACTCTACTTTTTCGCAGTCAATGAATATAATATATGTACGTATGTATATATGTGTGTGATAAGTATGAAATTATGTTTGAAAATTAATTCGCAGATTCTTCTATAATAATTTAAACCACATGTATATTTTAAAAATATATACGCTATAAATTTTATAATAGATTCAAAGCTGATACTGTCACCGCCTTAATTACTTCGTTGATTTTTTTAATAAATTAAATTGATATATTTTTCTTCAGAACGAAATAAAGTGAAGAAACTCATAAACTATTAAAAATTAACCTTCGCACCTAAATTTTTTTTATAGGTATTATCAATTACTCGAAGCAATTTCCATATGAAAATAACATTTACATATTAAGGCTAAAAAAATTAAAATTACGGTTTTATCTTCATGAAAGATTCGCCGATAAAAAATGAGTACAGATGTTGATATTTTATAAAGGAAATTATTAAGATAATAAAAATAATTCAAAACGCAATTATAGTACCCTCGAATGCAAAGAGTTAATATCTTATATGTAGAATTCTGAGTTTCCAAATAGTAATTCCAACACTCATTAAAAGAAAAATTGAATATGCAACACTCACCGTTCGCAGCTACGATGCAATCCAATGTGTAAATCGAAATTCGACAATAATCTCTTCTCAACAGCCGCATTCGTTGCTTTATCGTTGGTCCAAATCCATATCCAAGTATACACATTTCACACACACACGCGCGACCGACGCGACGAAAATTACGAAACAATCGCGGTTCCAATATAAACACTTCGCACAATCGTTCTCGCGATATTTCACACGTCGAAATCTTCGTTATCGCGACTCCGAACACATTTTTCATTCAATGAAATTTCACACAATCGTATCCGCGACTCCTTTATTCGTGAATACTATATACGTAAGCTTAAGCATGTATATTATATATAGCAATTATTGCGCTGTAAATCCGCCAAAATACGGAAAAGCACACACGACGAACGACGTACTCACGCGCGAATTAAACCGACTTCGTAAATGACCGAACACCAATGGTAACAATTTGAGCCTCGCAGCTCGAGGATGTTGCTCACTTAGCGAAATTTTGCACAATCATGTCCAAAAATATCGTTCCTGAAACAAAAAAAATATCGACATGTGTTAGTTACGATGATCGGCGAGTACGCGTAAAATTGATGGATAATAATTTAATGTACACCAATTTAACATATACATAGCACCATAATTAAAACGTTTTGGACGGCGTCTTATAAAAAAGATAAAAGATCGGAAATATATAAAAAAGAACGATGTGAGCCATTTAAGTAGATATATAAAAATAGAAATTAAAATAAGTCATAAAGTTTGATGTGGTAAAATGGTCAATATCACTGGTTTGAGGCTATTCAATGCAGGTGAATCCAATCAGAAACTCGACCATGCCAGCTCGGCAGGTGCTCGGGGATCACGGTCAATGGCTTTCGGGAACGGCCGACACTTTTTACACAGAAAGCAGAAAAGAGCGTCGACTAATTTTGCGCGGCGCTTCATTACGAAACACGGAGCAACTCTTCTTCCGTGGCTCTATAATTCTTTCAATTATTTTTGTTCGGCTAATTCGACGACATAGCTTCGTAATAAAAATAAATAAATAAGCAACATTATATGTGCTATAAAACGTTTTTTTTTTTTTAAACTTGTATTGGTTAAAGTAAAAATTTGTACGTGAATTTTGTTTAAAGAAAGAAGATTTTTCGTCTCGCAGACACTAAAAGAAGGATTTCTAAACTAATCTATCGAACAGATTCAACGTCTTCGTTAGCGTGCACGCGTCAAATACCGATCACCGTACATACGACTCGCCTGATGTGTAAATGAGGGTTCTCCTCAAGCAGAAAGGGGAACGAAAGTTTGACACGGCCGTCGGATGCGGTTCGCCACGAAGCTCGACCGGTAGACACCCTACGGTTTGTTGCTTCGCACCCTCGCTGTCGAGTCTTTTACCTCCCTCGCATTCAGCTGTCACGTGGCCCGTGCTCGAACGATCGTTTCCGCTTTATTTTCCGCCGTCCGGCGCCGCATCGTGTCGGACGTCGAGTGCTCGATCTCGTTAACGATCCCGAGCGGCGATCGATACTTTCTGGCCTCGTTCGACGTTTAATCGGAAAACAATCGCGCTACGTTGTGGCGAGAATGAGTTCTCGGAAAAAGATCCGAGTCGGTGCAGATGGAACGAGGCGAGACAAGCGAAGATTCTTCGTTTTAATTTATGCGCGGCGTAGCTCGAGGCATTATTAGTCCTAGCTGGCTACGAGGGGCGTGACGTCACGCGGCTAAAACAAAGGATCCTACCGGTGCTCATTTCACGTCGGCTCCCTTTCAACCGTGCCGACAGAAGGGCGCGAGGGACCGGTCCTCGCCGACGTCGACGCCGGTGCCGAGTGGCTCGATACTCTTTACGCTCCGTCAGCTTCGTATTATGGATCTTTTTACAAAAGTGATCGCGTTGACGTTGCACTTCCGTCAGCGGCCGTCAAGTCCAATCGATCCGCTTGCTCGACCGAACAATCTCTCGCGATTAAAACCCGCGGCTTACAACCGAGAAGTTATTTTGTTATGAATGGAGCGAGCTGGGTGTGTGCTGCGGTAAACGAGATGCGATAAATGAGAAAGAGCGACGATAACTTGAGATGTTATCGAAATGGTTAAGAGTAACTCGCCATAGAGGGCGTGTATCTACGCGTAGGGCTTCGCCATGGAGACTGGAGGGAGTTGATCGAGGGACGTCGTTGTCTCCGCAGGCCACTGTCATATTGTCCCTGGCGGATCGATACGCAGCCTACAACCTGCACTCATCGAGCTTGAAGAGGGCGTGGCTCGTACACCGGCAGAGAGACACTCAACCCCGTTGCGATCTCCGCCGCGCGCTAACCTTCCGCCTCCCTCTCGACGTAAAAGCGGGAGAGACGATTTCGTCCTTTCAGCCCTCAACGCGGTTCTCCCGTCGTCACCCTCCGCGATCTCCGCGTCGACGAGCGCTCTCATTCGTCGAGAGCATCGTAACACGGGGAGCAATCGCAATAGCGTCCGCGCAGAGATTTCTCTCGGAGTATCAACTTTTGCAACTCGTCACCTTCCCACGTCTTATCGTTCAAGTATAAATTACAGTAATTCCGCTTGACTTACAGCTTCATGAAAGTATAAATTCCACTCACAATGTCCACGTTTTAACACTTAATTATTTAACTTATTACCTGTGTTAAACGTAATAGCACTAAATCACCCGGCAGATCTTGTAATGGAGCTCCGCATACGAATGCATTCTAAATAACAACCATATACAGCAATATGTCATGTTACCGTGAAGAAATATGAGCAGGATATTAGTTGTGTGCGCTGATGAATGATCAAGGCAACCGAGTAGGACTTGGGATCTCTCTTCGAAGGATAGATCAAGCATGGAGCGGTCGCGGACTCCTCCGTTTTTCCTTTTTCTCCCCCCCTCGTTCTCTCTCCTCTCTCGCTCTCTCGTCACTTCCATCCTGGAAGGGTGCGCGCCGTTCGTTGTCTTCCGCCGGTGTTGTTGGCGCAAGGTTGAATCCACGTGGGGGCGTGTCGCCTCGATGGCGCCGGCTGCTAATGGCCGCGCGGCCCTCCAGACCTTAATTTCCTGCCGCTTCCGCGGACCCTCTCGCTTTTACCTCTCCGCGTCCGAATCCGCTCCGGATCTCTCCTCTTCAGCCTCCGGCCCTTTCGGTAGCCGCCGACACTCTCCTTGTCCTTTCGCCCTCGCGCTATTCCTGCGAGCGATTTGCATGAAGCTGCTTTTGATCAAGTTCGTTATCCAAAGTTTCAATCGACTTCTGTCGTTCGCTCTAATTTTTAGTTTGTTCGCAAATTGCGTCCCCTCTAATTTCACGTGCTGCGTACGCGAATGTCTGGCAAATTTCTGGGAATTTAAAAGATTCATTCAAATCTGTGATAAAATTCAAATTGTATCGTCATTGAATTATTGCGTCAACATTTGCGTGAGAAATTCATCGTGCGCATATTTGCACGATATTTAAAGCAAAATAATCTCGATCTTTTTAACTCGACAGCGTTTTCTCACGTTGTTTCAGGTTTCCTAATATGGTATCGCGAAAAATGTATGTCGACCTTGTGTTTGATTCGAGAACAATTTGCATGAAACTGGCCTAGGTAGAGGAGAGCGGCCTACCCGGGTCTCATTACTTTCAACGACTAATCTTCGATCTCTTCTAGGATAGGAGCGGCAATTTAGTGTCATTATACGCCCTTAGGAAAGACTTTCCTCCTTCTCTCTCTTCTTGGACCCGGGCCCGGGCCGAGGTTTCTTTTTAGATCGATTTAGACGCGGCGGCGATTATGGGCGTCCACCGACCGCCAGATTTCGATATTACGAACCGCACCAGCACGGAAAAATACTCCGTTGGTCCCGTGAATCGATACGCGCGATACGTAATTCGTTCCAGAGTTGTTATTACCGATTTGCGTAATCGCGCCGACGAGATTGCTCCATAACGAGCGCTTCCGATGTTAAAAATTCCGAAAAAGACCAGTAATGCGTGCGCGCGCGCGCGCGCGCGAGCGTTGTTAGCACATTGTAAATCGACGATAGAGATCATGCGAACCGACATTTGCCTTTAACCGAGACTATATATACTATATTATAATACATAAAGTTTTAACTCCAATTATACTTATCACGTAGCTATACGATATAAGTATATGCGACGAAAGAAATGTGGGAAACTGATAGTATTTGACTAAGGAGAAAAATCGATAAGCTCTTTTCCTACGCGCGCAATTACGATGTTATAGACTGAGCGGAGATTTCATTGCAATGTTACAGGATCATCCGGGGCTACGAGGCACGCCCTTAGCCATGCTGGCGGCGCAATGCAACAAGCTAAGCAGCAAAAGTCCACCACCACTGGCGGACGCAGCCGTGGGTAAGGGTTTTCACCCGTGGAAGAAGAGCCCGCAGAGCAGCGGCAGTTCGCCGCAGCACAGCGGCGGTGGAGGCGGCGGGGGCGGAGGAGGAGGAGGCGGCGGCGGTGCCGGCGGGTGCACAACGACGGGAGTGAGCCAGAGACCGGTGGCGACAAGCAGCGCCGGCAGCACGACCGGTGGTTACGCTAGAGCGCCGGTGACGTCCTGCGCCTCGACAGCGCCGCAATACGGTAGCGAATTATATTTCCCCGGAACGGCGAGCGCCCAGCCGGCCGGTGATCCCCATCACCATCAGAGCAGTCTCCTGGGCAAGGTCGAGGGCGCGACCTTGGGCTCGGTGTACGGCAGGCATCCGTACGAGTCGTGGCCGTTCAACGCGATGCCGGGCGCGACGCACGGTGGAATCAAAGCGAGCGACGGTTGGTGGGATGTGCACGGGGCCGCGACCGCCGGCGGGTGGCTGGACGTGAGCAGCACCGTCGGCGTCGGTGTCCACGCGGCGCAAATGGCCAATTACTCGGCCGACTACTCGACGAGCCTCGCGCTCGCCGGCAATCACCTGCTGACCACGGCCACGACGGCCGGCCACAATCTCCTGCAAGACACTTATAAATCAATGCTACCGGGCGGTCCTCCTGGATTCGGACTGCATCACCACGCGGCTGCCACGGCAGGCGCCGGCGCCGGTGCCGGCAGTCCTCAGGGCGGCGGCGGCGGCGTCGGCGTCGGAGCCGCCGGCGTCAGCCAGGCGCCATCGCCACGCTCGCAGAGACGCTACACCGGGCGCGCTACCTGCGATTGCCCGAATTGTCAAGAAGCCGAGAGACTCGGTCCCGCCGGCGTGCACCTGAGGAAGAAGAACATCCATAGCTGCCACATACCTGGTTGCGGCAAGGTCTACGGGAAAACGTCGCATCTGAAGGCCCACTTACGGTGGCACACTGGTGAGCGACCGTTTGTTTGCAACTGGCTTTTCTGTGGCAAGCGGTTCACACGTTCGGATGAGTTGCAGCGGCACCTTCGAACCCACACCGGCGAAAAGAGATTCGCCTGCCCGGTCTGCAACAAGCGGTTCATGCGCAGCGACCATCTCGCGAAGCACGTCAAGACCCACAGCAGCAGCAGCAGCAGCAGCGGCAGCAAGGGCAAGGGGGGAGCGGGGAGCTCGTCGGCCGAGTCCTGCTCCGACAGCGAGGACAACGGGAGTCAGCAGAGTCCCACTTCCAGCTCGGTGCCGCAGCCGCAGCCGCCGCAGCAGCAGCCGGCACAGGCCCAGCAGCAGCAGCAACAGCAGCTGGCGGCGGCGGCGGCGGCGGCAGCGGCGGCGGCAGCGGCGGCGGCGGCGGTGGCGGCGGGCCAGGACACCAGCAACACCACCTCCCCCCACGACCACCACCACCACTCTCGGCCATCAGCCGACAACACCCATGACTCCAATACAGATGACCCCACCGCCTCTGACCCCACACCATCCCCACCACCCGCATCTCCCGCCTCTAATGCACCATCCTCATCATCACGCAGCCTCCGTGCCGGCGGCCCACCACCCGCACGCGGGGATGAGCATGCACTGAGCCCGGTGGGGCCCGGAGCCGGTGCCTGCAGTACCGCTGCCGCAACGGCCCTGGGCTCCCCCCTATCCTACCCCCTCAACCTGAATCTCATGCAGAATCACGCGACCATGAATCCATCCGCACCCCATCACCATCACCAACAACACCAAAATCACCATCACCATCACCATCACCATCATCACCAATCGCACCAACAGCAACACTCGCGACAAAATAACACCTACTCCGTACAACAAAATCCTGGCACGCCGGGGACCGCGCAGACTCCCTCACCCTCGTCCCCCGCGCCTGTACATAGTCTCTAAGCGGTTACGAGCGCACTCGCGTCCAGCAACCGGTCACGATCCACCGCACGTCCGTCCGCCGCGTTCATACACGCAGGCACGAATGATACACACACGCAGACACGAGAGTACACACGGAGATGTACACACGATATCTGGCTCCCCGTCCTGGTTTCGATTACAAATCTGGTCCTCGTAACGCACGCACGTGGATATTTCAGGATTTTTTATTTGTACATAATATATATAAAGTGTGTGAAAGAGACAGGGAGAGAGCAAGAGAGAGAGCGAACGAGGATGAGAGAGAAAGAGAGAGAGAGAGAGAGAATCAATGCTATATTAATTAAGCGGTGTAATGTTGTGTAAAAAGTAACCCGTATAAATATATAAATATATATATATATATAAATATATATATATATATACATACATAAATATGCACTGTCGCGTTGTACCATACACCGGCAAAACACTTCGCGCCCTGCCGACTCTTCTCTTCCGTTTATTTTTGGAAGGCAAGAGACGGAACAAATTAAAGAGAAACGACCATGGAGTATGGACAGGTTCCAAACGATTTCATACCATACAGAGCCTTGAACATATTATCTAACGAAAAAAAGAAAGTTTTCTTAGTGATTTTGAAATTCTTTCCAGGCAAAGTCCATCTTTGTTGATTACGTTTGGAACTTGGACTCGAACGATGACCCATATCAGCCCACCTACACCTTTTGGATGTAGTATCGCACTATTATCAATGAATTAGTGTATTAATTATTAATTATTATTATTATTAATTATTATTATTATTATTAACTCCTCTTATTACTGTATTATTATAAAAATTATAAATTCATTTTAAAGAAAAAGAGAAAATAAATAATGCTTTTGTGAATAATGAGGGCTCCATTCAATCGCATTTTTATTCGATCCACAAAGTTCATTCTTCCCGATTTCCAATCGTAAATCTATGGAACAACAATTTAGATATTTTTTCTATTTTTCATTCTCCTAGCTCGACCTTGTTACAGCTGATTAAGGATTAATCCCTACGAAGGTAATTAATGTTATTTTCCTAGTTTTTAAATGTAATTTCGGCCACGCACAAATTGAAAGTAAGTTCACCAAGTTAATGTAAATATGACTAATTTTGACATCCTTCTCTAAATGTTCACGATAAAATATCATTTAGCACGATACTAAGAAATGTTTACAGAGTAATATGGAGGTCAATAGGAGGCTTCAAAGTGACGCTAAGCAAAGAATAACCCAACACGGGACACGAGCTCTTAGGACGATATTATCGCATGGGCCGTTAAATCCCAGATCCTGCGAACCGTGAAATGTCCTGTCATAACATCAGGCCTCCCCCACTCGGAGTCATGGCACTTTATTTTCTCACTCCAGAATTTTATTCCGACTCTCGTTTCATTCGGAGATCCGCCGATTGTGCGGCATCCGGCATCGTTCCGGCATCGCCTCGCGAGTGCAACGAAAATGCGTTCGATACGTGCTTCAGCTCTTGATCTTATTAGCGAGAATGACTTGGCTCGCGCCTCTCAGGCCTAAACAGCGGAGTAGCCGCGTCACGCGGTCATTACGAGCCTATAAAAGTTGCTTCTCCCGAGCATTCCGCCGACCGGTCATAATTATTACAACATGTACAATATTCTTCAAACAATAATAACAAAAGCAATCACTTGTGTCGCAAAACAACTCATGTATTTAAACAAAAATACGTTAACAAATTAATGGAAAGATTATAGAAAAATCATCTCTCGGATCTAACGAGAAGAAAACATTCATAAAGACGCCGCAAAATTTGACTCCGAAACTAAAAAGACGAAATTAATTTGACCGAATACGAGGAGCAGCGTCGCGACATTCAACTGCCCTGACAACGACGCCGCAATAAACAATTTTCAAGCACAGCGCCGTAAACTGGATCAATATGGCAGAGATTACGAAATAAGATCGTTATGCAAAGCAGTCGGAAAGGGTCGCGCCGGGTTTGCGCCGCAGCAATTCGCGGGGGGTGCGGTTAACGTCTAGCGGCGAGCATGCAAGCCCGGGGGATGGCTTTTTCGGTGATTTAACCGAGGAGGGTGAACGTTTGTTATTCAATTTGCAACCCCCTCGGTACCAGCCACTGCTCACCCTCTACCCACAGATCATCGCGCCTTTACGACCATGGCCGTACGTTCCTAATGCAGGAAACATTTCTCCTCGTTCCAGATATAACGACTGGTGGGTATTCCGCTATGTTTTGACATTACTTTTCCGCATTTACGTAATGCTATTCTCCGTTTCATTTTTTATTACTAAAAATTATGCAATAATTACACATTGATAACATTGTGCCGTATTATCTTGTATTCAGAGACGTTCAAATTATCTTCCATTCTACGCATTGCAACCCGAGACTTGTTAATTATAGTATAAGAATACACATTATCGCGGTAAACTTTGTAAATCAAAAGAGATTTCTACAATTAATCTTTCTTCTATATAATTATCTCCTATGAATCTCTCTTTCACTCTATCTGAAGCATACTACATCTATTTTATTTCTAAAATGTAATCTGTCATTAGATAATCAATGTTGAAAAATTGATATTTGAAAGAAGAAAATAATCTTTAATTAAATAAAATGATTTTACACAAATCATATATCCATCCCGTCTTTCTCATCTTTTGTCTTTCTTGCAAAAAAAGCAATAGTCATTCTTTGCAATTATCAATAATCTTTTATCATTATATTCCTTAAAATGACGATTGAATATGAATACGATAATAAATTCCAATTAATTGATGTCAACTTATTAACATCAGCATTATTTAATTTCTTCAAAATATGCACCCGAGTTTATGTAATAATCCAAATTGAAAAAAAAAAAGATTCCTTTCAGTGCATACATGTCTCTTCCGCAGCTTGCGAGTGAATAATTAGGCGCGTGCGAGTGTCACGTTCGCGAGACCGTTCTCAAGGCTCGGGGTCATTAGATCCGTCTGTTCTTTCGAACGTGTTGCGATAATAAAGGTCGCGCACCGTCACTCGACAAAGGCACCGCTGTGCGATTAATTTCATGGCGGTGCGCCCCATCGCGATACAATTGAAACGAATGGAACGGTGGGACGTTTTATGAAGCAGGCGCGGAACGACACTTTGCTCGCAAACATCGTCCTGTTCAAATCGCGTTCGTCATGATTTATAAATACAATAGATCGTGAATAATAAAAGAAATGTACAAATGTAACGAAATAAAACGCATTCTGAGCGATAAATGCGCAATAATGTTAATTAGTACTCGGAAATTTCAGGTGAATATGTTTGAATCTTTCGTCTGAGCTCTAGTATTAATTATCAATTGATATACTTAATAATTGATTCAATAATAGCAGTTGAGAATTTTTTTTATTTTACTATGTTTCAAAATCGAATAATAAATCAAGTCAATCGGTTTTTTTTTTAGTGCAACAAACTAGCGATTGATAAAGATAAAGTACTAAGTGGCGAAGACGGAACATTGAATAATGCTTTGAAATCTCACACTCGTCCGTCGGCGAGGCTTAGTAAAAAAATGCGGACAAAGAACCCCGAAAGGTTCACCATTTCTCGCCCCTTCGAGGTCTGCTAACAAATCTCATGATCCTAACGACGCGACTTTGGTTAGAAATACCACGGTTTCATATTTACAAAAGCGAAACCGTCTCTTTTCAACCCACCGCACTGGAGCTCCTACTGCTAGGAAAAAGCTAAAAACGTCCCTTTCCAAATAATAAATATAAAATTAACGTGCTATATGTATAATTTATGATGAAGAATTTACATTATATATATAATGCTTTTTGTCTTTAATAAAGAATATAAAATATTTCCTCGAAAATTCTAAAATAATGTTATGCACTCAAAAAAATATTTCGCTGATGTAGTTAGATTTCTAGATATCGCAACAAGAATGTATCACTATTTTTCGTATCTGTGAAAACATTGTTTGTCACATATAGAATTTATAGCAGTAATGTTCTAGCAATAGCTTCTGAAAAATTTAGGTACCATTGCTAAATGTTATTCATTGCATGATCTAACACGTGATTGATCTTATATAGATAGGCGCTTTAGAGAAACTTTCTTTTTAAAGTTCACAAACAATACAAATATATATTCTGTTTCTGTCATCTAAACTGATTAAGTAATTACATATGCAATATCACAACAGTTGCTAATCATTTATCTGTTTTAGTTAATTTTTTACACCTAGAAAATTTTAGCTATTATTGCAAGATCATTTTTTTGAGTGTGAAATATACATAGTTTTAATTACTGCGTCAAATAGTACATATTATTCAGATTATACTGTAACATTATTTGTAAGATTTGTAATGATGGACAAGACGATAAATGTAACCGATTTGCTGAATGTAAAAACAGATTAGTGCACTAATCTGAACCGATTGTATATCTAAAAGAGGTCTATGGAGAACTAATGAAGTCACTGTTAGATATAAGGTTTATGGACATATGGTTAACACCTTTGTGGTTTGTTGGAAAAGTCAGGGAAACACATGCGTGAAGTTAGTATGCGTTTGAAAGACCGTCCTTTACTAGACGCACGTAGACACGCGCGTTGCACACGTGCTCGCGTAAGAGAACCACGCGAGTCCTGTTACCAAAGTGCCGCGCGCACTCGAAAAAGCCGCGGGCTTTTGAGCATTGAGAGAAACCGGGCCGTCTGTGAAAATCGACTTGAAAAAAAAAAGATTTATCACCGACAAAAATTCTGCAAAAATTTTTTGACATTCTATCAAATTATTCTATTAGTACTGTTGCAACCTGTAAAATTTTATACTCTAATTCGCTTTTTTGCGGCAAAAAGAAGCCGCGTTTATATCTTGTGTGTCTCTCGCGAGTGAAATAACAATCTCGGAAAATCAGACAAGTAATGTCATACGACACGTGCGATCGATGCGATATCGTGTTCGACATTGTCGAACAGCCGAGTCTAATGGGCAAACAACACCGAGCATTCTGACGCTGTCATAACGAGCGTTGGCTCACCACCGCGACGCACCGGACAGGACAGGCCGAGGCAATCCTGTAACGCAAGGCTGATAACATTACCGTCCGATTCGAGTTAATTGCTCGTCGTTAGAGGTCATTAAAGTATCTGGTTGGTTCACGCGACACTCGTCGAGGGGCCACGGAACGCTGCGTTATTTCTCCGGGCTGGCTAACGAATCACGTCGCTCCCGCAATCACCTCGTTACGCAAGCTTACCCTAATTGAAGCGAACAGCCGCGACTAATTATCGAGCGCTGCCAATTTCGATATCAATTCATTATTCGTTCGCGATCGATGCGTGTACTGACGAGCTTCAGCATCGGGATTATAATGTGTGTGTTTTTAATCACATGAGGCGGATTTAACAGCCGGCAATTGCGCGTAATTAAGTGTTTTGAAGAAGCCAAAGACGCTTGTGTTGCATTTGTCGACGATGCTTTTCATTAACACGCTGTAGTTATGATTTAAAAAATGATCAGCTGACAATGAGAAGTAACTGCCACTAAGCAATTGAGTTTTATAATTATAATGACTTCGTCTCCGTCGTCGTGTAAGATGCATGCGTTGCTCATATCAAAGGAATTCAATTTAACAATATTCTTATGTACTTGCAAACGAGAGAAAAAAGAAGCCTTCAACCATCTTTCGATGATTATTCAAAAGCGAAGCGTCGACCCGAGAGTTCACGAAAGAGCAACGCGGTAGTCTAGCTGTTCGCAGCTATCGACCGATAATTTCACGGCACATCGAGTAGGTATG